CCCCGCATTGGAAAAGTAGTATAGAAATTGAATTTAAAAAATTTGACCACGTTTTTTAAAGAAAAGAGAATGGACGTGAAAGTAATGAATTTAATGATTCCTAGCTAGAGCCCAAAACTTAAGACAGGGTATCGTTATGAAAACCAGTTTTGAAACCCGGGTTTTACGAATGGGGTTAGGCTTTTTTGTAGATATCAATATTTGTGTCATAAAATATTATTTTTATTTAGTTACTTCTCCATTCCTAACTGCTGAGCGTACAAAATTTGGGTGTGTTTGTGTATTTAGGTATTCAGGTAATTAGGTATTCAAGTAGCGATGCTTTGTTTTATCATTTTATTGTTTTAGTATTCATTATCATTATTATTATTACATGATTGTGTTATTTTCTTCTTGTTGTTATTATTATTATTCATATTATATTATTAATATTATTAAATCTTTGCAAATAAGTCAGATTTTCTAATACCTATATTTTTGCGCAACCCATTGTCCACTCCTGTATGCCGAGTCCATTGGCGCCTGATCCAATTTTAAAAAATTCGAAATTGAAATGAATAGTCCAGGGAACATACTGTATTAATGTACACTACTGTATATAATTTGTGAACATTTACATGATTTGTAAACTTTGAACTCCCTTTCAGGCTGAAAGGGACTGACAAAATTCATACCGAGGGATTGTCTAAATTCCACTCTAATATATATTCTATTCTCTTTGTTTAAACGTCATGAATTTATGAAAGAAAAAAATGAAAACATATGAAATATAAAAGTACTGGGTTTATTTTTGATTGCTATGTTTTGCAAACTATGAATTTGAATCCCAGATCTAATTAAAGCAATTAATGTTTTAATCACCTTATTTTGATAAACCACGGCATTGACTAAACTATCAGAACTGTTTCACTCCTAGTCTTTCTAGAATACAAGGAGGTGAGCTTTAAAGGGACTGTTCACTTATTTGGGTAATTTTAAATTACCTAAATCAAACGGATTTAACG